GGGTCTCGATGCCCGTCCTGTGTGGGGAGGGTCCGCGCGCGTTCTATGGCCTGCAGGAAGAAATCGCGAAGACTACTATCGACACCGGGCTATTTGCGTGGGGGCCATGCGCCCCGCTCGAGCGCCTGACGGACTTTGGGGTGCTGGAGATGTCGCCCGCGGTCACGGCAGCGATGCGCGCCCCGATGCCGTTCGACGCGGAGTGCTACTTGCTCGCGCCGGGTCCAGTCGCGTGGACGGGGTCTAGCGGGCATATTCGATTCGAGGTACGTGCATCCTACGAGAGAGGCCTGGTGAGGAAAGACGTGCTGACGAGGATCGGACAGCCTACCGTCGGTGCTTGTGAAATCAAACTCCGTCGTCCACGCCCTCGTCCACTCTGCGCCCCACCTGATCCAGGCCCGACCCCACTGTCCGACCCCGCGCATACCCACAGCGTCCGCCTGCATATCCCATCATCAAGCTCATCCTCTCCGTCCCCACCTCTCCGGGCTGCGGGCCCACCCTTGTGACGGTACACATCGCGATCCTCTTCTGCACACTGCACACGCTCCCGCTCGGGCTCCCGCTCATCCCCTGCGACTGGCCCGGTCCACGAGCCGAAGTCGGTTGCCCACTCTTTCGGTGCCTCGGGGGACCGTTCCGATTGGTGACGATCTCGCCGGAGGAGCAGCGCAGGTTGAAGGCGCGGTGGACGACGATCTGGGTCGTCGCGAAACCCCCAGTGTTCGCACCAACGCAGCACCCGCAGCTACAACGGCGCTCGTCCTCGGCGACACTAGGGTCCGGGCTCCAGCGTGCGGAAGAGGCGGCGGCAGCCATGGAGGTCGCGTTAGCAGCAGCGTCGGGCAGCGGTCGCGGGGTGATGCGTGCGATGCGGCCCACGTCGATGCTGGCGTCGAAGTGGCGGCTCGCGGGCATGAACGCGTCGACGTGCGCGCCGTTTCGCGTGCCCGACGCGGTCCTGGACGGGCTCACGTTCCGCGAGGGCGGCGGGACGGTGCCTGGGCGGGCGTATTTTCGCTGCGTTGCTGCGACGTGGGTCGGGGTGGGGTGGACGGGAAAGCCGGCGGTGACGCTGGTGTTTCGCACGGATGTGTACTGCGTCCCGCACAGGTCGCGTGCGGGGGCCGTCGGCGTGGGGGTGTCGTACCTCGTCGTAACGCTGGGGTGTGCCGGCGCCGGACAGAAGGAGGCAGGGGAACAAGCAAGACAGTGGAGGAAAGCGCGTCGCGAGGTTCCACGCTGAGACCGAGCGAAGAAGAATGCACGGGCGATGGGAGCGGGTGGGACGAGAAGGCTTCAAATCTCAAGCGGCGAAGAGCGTCCACGTCTTCGTCCAGAGGGGTCGGTGCGCACTGGGCGACAATTCGTGTTGAGAGCGCCGAGAAGCGAAGCGTCCGCGCGGCGCTAGAGTCGGTCCGGCATCCTTCTGACTCGCACGTATGTTCTCGGGACCATATCTCCAATTGGTCGGGAAGAGAAACTCAGGTCGCGGCGCGAGGTCCGGGCCCGCCCTACGACGAAGTTGATGGGGTTGGGGGGCCAGCGACCGTGCCTCTCGTCGTGACTCTGCGATTCGTGACTTGCCCCATCAGCGCAGTTGCCACTGCTTCCGGCTGCACGCGAAGTAGAGCGGAGGGAAATGAGGAGACCATGATCTTGCAGCTCACGGCTGAGCCGGGATTTCTACCACTAGAGAAGCCGCGGCCGCGGTCGGTTCAGTTTGCTTGATGTTTAGTGAGTACATAGACCGTGCCTGTGAGTAAATGATGTTATTGCTCAAGGTGCTGTGACTCCAAAGTACCGTAGGGAGAAGTGCGGTCCGGGGGAAGCATAGAATTCGCTGCTGTCATGAACCACCGGGTTAGAGGTACAGGCACAGGTTGTGCTCTCGCAAGCATTGGAAATCAATGAATGTGGACTGACATAAGCGATCAGAGAGAGACCTGAACTGCGTGCACTTCGAGTCATTGATATGGAAGCAGAACAGACGGATGACAGTGATTTGGAATTGGACAACCGCAGCTTACTAACATATACTCTGGAGGGGCGCCCATGTGTCGTCGAAGGTGTTCAGTGGGAACGAGCGACGGTATGTATAGCGGGTCGAGGCACGTTGAGGCGCATATAAGCAGCTGCAGACGGCAGATGAGCAGCAGCACTTACCCCAGAAGACGTTCTACACATGTCATCCCAAATCACTTTCTACTCCTTCTTGGTAAGATCACAATCCCCAAGGAATTCCGCGGCTGCTTACCTTGGCATCTCAGCCATCGCAATACGCCCACCGTGTCCACCTGGCCCTCGATGAAGTGAAGGCAGAATATGTCACCCACAACATCGACCTCCAGGCCAAACCTGCCTGGTTCCTGGAGAAGATAAACCCAGAAGGCACAGTAAGCCCACATCCATCGATGGCAGCGCATGTGGCTAGTCTGGACTCACCTGAGTCTGTCTCGAGATTCCTGCGCTTTCATACGGTCCGAAGTGCGCGCCCGACGATCCGTCCCCGGAAGCGGCGGCGATCCCTGAGTCGCTCGTCATCCTCGAGTTCCTCGCCGACCTCTTCCCTAACGGCGGGATCCTCCCACCCAACGATCCCGTCGCGCGGGCGCGAGCGCGGCTCCTCGTCGCCCACTTCGAGAGCGTCTTCACCGTCGCATTCAAGAGCGCGTTCTACGAGGGCAAGTCTCCGCAGCTGGTTCTAGATGCCCTTCTGGAGTTCCAGGCGCGCCTTCCGAAGGATGGCTTTGCGCTGGGTGCATGGGGAATGGTAGAGATGTCGGCCGCGCCGTTTCTGGTGCGCACCTGGATGTTGCTCGAACACGACTTCGGGCATTTGTTGGAGCACAACCCGCGCCCCGCACGCGGCGCGTCACCGGACGTTGGCCGTCTGCGCTGTGCGCGCGCGCGCGGCACACTGATCCCGCATCGCGCGGTGCGCGCGATGCGCGCTCATCCTTGTCTTGATGCCGCCCGGACTTTCGCTTTTCCATGGTCTATCCTACGATACCATTCCGCTTCCGCTTGCCTCGCGTTCTCTCGTTCCTGCTTACATACACGCGCGCCGGTCCGTAGCCATCAGTCCTGTTGGCAGTCACTTATACCGTCCCGCCCGCGCAGCGCCGCCCTCAGTCTTGCACTCTGCACGAGCGCACCGTACTGAGGGTGAGCGCGCATTTCTTTATCCTGCTGCATTTTGCTTTTGCTCACACTGTACTGTAGTCTACTGCGTATCACTACAGGTACAGAATATATCAGTCTTGCACTCTGCACGAGCGCACCGTACTGAGGTCTACTGCGTATCACTACAGCTGCTACCGCTCACAGGTTATGAGCCCTGCGTGAAGGCCTTACCTAGCAAGACTCAACTTACACGCTACCCTGCCATCTCGCTTCCCATCCTCCCTCACTCGCATCTATCATGTCATCCGGCTCTCTCTCCGACTTCATCAACGGGTTCGATAAGCTCGACGCCAAGGGCTCGAACTGGCTGGCATTCCAACAGCAGTTCACTATCGCGGTGCAACAGAAGGAGGCGTGGACTCATTACAATGGTATGAAGCCCTACCCCACTCCCGCGGACGTCGATGCCCCCACCGCTGCCGAGCTCTCCGCTTTGAACGACTGGCAGAAGAAGGAGACGTTAGCCCTCTACCTTCTGACGCTGAAGCTCGCGCCAAGCACGTACAACCGTTTCAAGCGCAAGGGCACCGTCGCGGAGATCTGGGCCGCCCTCGTAGCCGAGTTCTCGAAGAAGACGCTTCTCCAGCGGTCAAATCTTCGCCGCGACTTCCTGAACATGCGTGCAACTGCGGGCGCGAACATGCATGATGAGTTCGACCGTCTCCGGAACGCCTACGAAGACCTTCTCACCTACGACGTCGAGATCGCGGACACCGAATACGCTTCCGTCATCATCAACTTTGTCCCCTCCGAACTCTCCGGCTTCATCGCCCAACTCTCCGCGCAGGCGAAGCTGCAGCAAGCGGCAATCGCCGCCGCGATGTCTTCGACCACTGCTGCCGTCTCGACCTCATCGAAGGACAAGCCTGCGATCGAACCCGATGAGATGATCAGTATCCTGCTTGAAGAGTGGGAACGTCGGGAGGGCGAGAAGAAGACGTCGAAGGCCAAGGCCAAGGATCCTGGTGTCGCCGCCAGTGTCCAGTCGTCGGAGAAGCCAAAGTGGAAGGGGAAGGGGAAGGGATCCGGTGGACCGCGGCGCCCTGTGGGCGTCTGTTGGACGTGCGGCGGGAAGGGTCACAAGGAGGCCGACTGTCCAAGCCCCAAGCAGGACGCGAAGGGCAAGAACGTCGCTCGCAAGGACGACTCCAAGGCTGTCGTTAAGCCTATCGCAGCTGCCGTGGTCGCGAGTGCGTTCATTGAGGAAGTTGATGAAGACGTCGGTGGCGCTTGGTCTGCACACCTCCGTGCCGACTCTCCTTGGCTCGAGTCTAGCAATGAAGACTCGGCGTCAGCAAGTGAAGACTCGACGTGGTCGGACGACGCCCGCTCCGATTACACTTCACTCACAGAGGAGACCACTTCCGACGCATCCTCCATGCCCGCACTTGAGCCAGTCTCCGACGACGAGGAGCCTGGCAGCGAACAGGAGTTCCACCCATCCTACTGGGCCCGCGATCCAACGCCTGAAGAGCTCGAACTTGACGCCACAGTTTCGGAGCCTCTTTTCGCCGCTTTCACCACACTTCGCTCGCGCATCGACAACTGGGTCGCCACCATGACGGACGGCCACGACGACCAAGATCGGGCTGATATGCTTGAAGAGCTCGAGGAGGAGGACGCTCCCCTCGACCCGATCGCTGCCGCTGTCACGCTGCTTGCCGCTGCAGTGTCAACTCGCCATGTTGACTTGTACAATTCGGGAGCAACTCACCACATGTCGCCGCGTCGCGAAGCCTTTGTAACCTTCCGGGAGACCGCGCCACGTTCTCTCACTGCCGCCAACCAGCAGGAGTTCCTTGCCCTTGGGGTTGGGGACGTCATCCTCGCTGTGCCGAACTCTCCGTCAGTCCCGACGCAGATCCGCCTCAAAAACGTTCTCTACACACCTGACCTCGGCTATACACTCGTCTCCGTCGGCCGGATTGACGACGCCGGGTATGCCGCTACCTTTGCCGGGGGTCAGTGCGTCATCGCCGACGCAAAGGGGAACATTATAGGCCGCATACCGAAGTCGCGTGGGCTGTACCTCGCCCGTAAAGCTGAAGACGCCTCAGCTGCGGTTGCTACAACGCTCAACAAGTCGACCGAACGTACCCAGACGCTCACGCGCGCACAAGCCCATCGCCGTTTCGGTCACATCGCCATACGGACTGTCGAGGAGCAGATCTCGAAAGGCCACATCCGAGGGGTGAGGCTTGTACCCGGAGACGACGATGGCAAGCCGTGCGAAGCCTGTCTTTGTGCGAAGATGACACGTCGACCTGTTCCCACCGAGCGCCAGGGGGAACGCACAACGGAGTTCGGCGACGAGATCCATTCGGATGTTTGGGGTCCAGGTCGCGTTGCAACTCTGGGCCTACAGTAGCTATTGGACTGGTGCATCCATTACCATAGCCTCTCGGCAAGGTGTGGATGCATCCGTCACTCCCGCCGGCCCGGTTGCAATCTACGCCGCTGCCGCTTCCCCAGGCGCGCTCACGCGCCGCCACGGGTGCGACGCTGCCCCGACATGTCTGATCACCGGCGCCTCTGGTGCTCCCACTCGAGCTCACTGTCTCCGACAGTGAGCTCACCTCCCCCTTTGTTTCAGACCGCACTTTTTGTATAGAATTTGCGATTAAAATATATGTGATAGTAAGCTACTATAGTAGGGCTAGCAAGTAGTGCTATAGCCCTGCGACAACGCGGAGGCCGAGGCGGAGGAGGGCGATGTGGAGGGCGACACGTCGAGGAGGGTGACGCGGGTAGACGCGGGCGATGCGCGGGGAAGTGGACGAGGAGGGGGAGGAGGGCGACGCGGGCGGACGCAGGCGACGTGGAGAGCGGTGTGGAGGAGGCGGGGCGGGCAGGTTGCGCGAAGGAGGCGGCAGGCGCGGGCGGAGCAGGGCGGCGTGGGCGAGCTGCGTGGGCGGGCTGCGCAGGGCGAGGAAGAGGAGGGCGACGTCCGGAGGCGGAGGCGCGTGACGAGCGACGCAGGTGGAGGGCAGCGCGCGGGCGGAAGAGGGCAGCGCGCGGGCGGAAGAGGGCAGCGCGCGGGCGGAGGAGGGCTGTGTGGAGGAGGGACGAGGGTGCAGGAGGGCGAGGCAGAGAAGGCAGCGCGGAGGCGGAGGAAGGTGATGCGGAGGAGCGCGGCACAGAGGAGCGCGGTGACGCGGTGATGTGGAGGAGGTGGGTGACACAGGTAGAGGAGCACGGCGCGAAGGAGGCGGCAGGCACGGGTGGAGAAGGGCGAGGAGGAGGAGCGCGGCGTGGGCGAGCTGCGTGGGTGGGCGGCGCAGGGCGAGGAGGAGGAGGAGGAGGGCGACACAGAGGCGGATGGCGCGGGCGGGCGACGCAGGCGGAGGAGAGCGCGCGGAGGAGAGCGGCGTGGAGGAGGACGTCAGGGGGGACGTCTTCGGGCTGTCGTAGGCAGGGGGTATGGACATGGGTGGGCATCGGGAGTGCAGGATGGAGCGGAGGACTCACCAAATCGCTGCGGCCCCCTATTCCAGTCTCCATACTGAGAACGTCCTCATGCGGTGGGTTTGTTGTGAATGCAGTCGGAAAGGTGGGTATAGGGCGGGATCGAGGTCGAGGGAGTTAGGAGGAGAGAAGGTCGGTGTCACCTGGTGACACCGGAGTCCAATAGCAGACAACAGTCGACCGTATGGTCGCTATTGTCTGCCTGGGCAGAGCGGGGAGGAGGAGGAGGAGGAGGAGGAGGAGGAGGAGGAGGAGGAGGAGAGGACGGACGGCGAAGGGGAGGGACGCCGCGTGGCGTGCATTACAGCCACGCGACGATGCGCGCCACGCGTCCTTGCCGCCCACCGAGGCGCGTCTCCACGGGCGCGAATCACGGATCACCGGATGCATCCGCACCCTGCCGAAAGGCTGTCGCAACGGATGCTCCCGGCGATTAGCAGCTGCTCTCTGGGCGGCCGCACGTACTTCGTCAGCTTCACGGATGACGCTTCGCGCTGGACGACACTCTACCTGCTGCGCCACAAGAGTGAGGTCTTCGAGGCCTTCCGAGCGTTCGAGGCCTGGGTGGAGAATCAGTGTCACGCTCGCATCAAGGCGCTGAACACGGATCGTGGCGGCGAATATCTCAGCAATGAGTTCGTCACTCACCTGCAACAGCGGGGCATCGCGTCAAAGCTCTCTGTCCACGACACACACCAGGAGGCCGGCGTCTCTGAGCGGCTCGGCCGTACCCTCATGGAGAAGGTCCGCGCGTTGCTGATCCAGTCGGGATTGCCGCGCAACCTGTGGGGAGAGGCGCTGATGCACGCCGCTTGGTTGAAGAACCGCATCAGTAATTTTTCACACGTCTGCTGGGCACTGTCCGTCTGTCACAGTGACGGACAGTGCCCCGCAGACGAGCAGTTGACAGATGGACAGTAAATCTGAGCAGACGAGCAGTCGACCCCTGAGCCTCCTTCCACAGTTGCGCAGACGGGACAGACGGAGCAGTTCGTCAGCCGGTCTGGTTGGTGCACTCGGACAGAAATTAATGTGAGTGGGGATGGATTAATCGCATTATTAAGATACTGTAGGCGAAATTGCGACGATAGATTCGTAGTATCGAAATGTCCCATTCCTGCGGTTACGGCTACTTGCGAATGGGGGAATGAGTGCGCTGGCGACGGTACATGGGGTTGATAGGAATGGTGTCGTCCTCATCCTGCCATCATCGCCCTCAACTCCCGCGAGCTCGTCCGCTGCCTCAACAAGCCGGTCAAACGACTCGGACATTTCGAGCAGGTCTGCGACTGCTGTGCGCATCCACTTCGTCGTCAGAGAGCCGGCCTTGACCTTTGAGAAAGCAGGCATCGCCGTGCCTTTCCCGTTTGGGGACTGTAAAGAGTGATACCTGAATGCTCGCTCGATCTAAAAGGCATATTTCAGCGAACGATAAGAGAGCGAGAAAGAGACCAAGCAACATACAGCAGCCAGTGCCAGTGCGAGAGCTCCAACTGGGTATGGGCGATCCTCCCTGCGAGGCCGGAGCGCACCCTTGGTCCAGGACGCGTGGTGTTCCATGGTGGCGAGCACGAAGGACGACTGCATGAACTCCTTCGCTTTGTTATTCTGCGATGATATCGAGTGAGAGTTTCGTTAGAGCGAACTCAGTGGTACGAATGGAATATACATACATTTTCGATGTCCGGATCTCCATACAGCATTGCTCCGCCAGGCAACAACGCTGCATCAAGCCACGCGCGAAGTCCTCCGTCCGAGCGTTCGTACTTGCTGAGCCACGCGTCAGCGCGGAGGTCCTCGATAGCCGTCTCGACCGATGCGACCGCAATCTCTTGCATCTTGCTCCGATAGTCGTAGACGTGCTGACGAGACTGTTTAACCGGAAATAGTGAGATTAGGGGATAGTAGAATAGTTGGAGTTGATTTGGACGACACTTACCGTCGTGAATACAGCAGATTCCGTTGTGAGATCCGGTTCACCATGAGCCGGGAACACCTGATTATAGAAATCTTGCACGAGTCCGAGGAGGGTCCAAGCTTTGCCGCCATCCGTGACGCCCGAGATGGTGTCCCATGGCGAGGTCAGCTGTCCGATGAACTCGATAACAGAGGGCATGATGACCTCTCTAACAACCGTCTGCTTGAGGAGTGTTTCGCCGCCAAGGCCGCGAGATACCGGTGCCTTGTTGGCCTTCTTGCGGGTGTCAGACGCCGCCGGCAGTGACGGCCGTGCCTTGGACTTGCGAGTGGATGCTGGCGAAGGAGCATCTTCGATAACGCTCTTCGTCTCGAGCCGGCGGCCTGTAGTAGTATGAGCGCGACTCCACGACCCGAGTGCATTTGACGAGGACGATGTCGGGGTCTCGGACGACCCGAGAGTGGCGCTCTTGGAACGTTTTGCGGCAGGTGTGGTATGGTCTGCTGGCGTGGAGCGCATAAATGCCCGTGCGTTCTGAGCGAGCGTCGCGGTCCTTGCAGAGTAGGCGTTGGTCATCTGATGTGGTGTCTGCGCACGAGAAATTTGTAGCTCTTTACTCGTCGGAGTGGGCGTCTGCGGAGCGGTCCGATGAGCGAAGGCCATCGATGGTTTGAACTTCCCGTAGTTCTTGAGCGGCTTGCTGAATTGCGCAGGAACTTCACTGAAGGGAAGGGGCGGACCAGTGAGGGTTGCAGAAGCACTAGCGTTATTGTGATCATGATCTAGTGTGATGTCGACATTGTCACGTGGATCGGACGGACCGGGGCCGTGCTGAGCTGAGCCTTGAACGTCGATATCCTGTGCCAGTCATATGGTGAGGCTTTATTGATTCTGAGAACCACATTCAGCTCACCATGTACGAGTACTGGAGTACGTTGTGGCGTCTCTCATGCTCGTCTGCGTGATCCTGGAAGACATCCTCATCCGTGAGGCCTTGGGGAGTGAACGACTCGCCGATATCTCGGCTGCCTGAAATATCTGTTCAAACGTAGATATACTATTTGTGAGCGCGACGAGAAGATGAAATACATGCGGATGACACTTACCCGACTTGACATGACGCGGCAGATCGTCCGAAGAGATCCCCAATGCTTCTGGGATCGTAGCGAACGCCGCTTGAGAGCTGCGATGGAGCTCTCTGCGCCACGCATTCACAGAGGACGCTGTGGGAGGCTGTGACATCTGCGATGTTTCACGGCTGCATGAGAATTTAGATAGGTGTTAGAACTTAGAAATGGTGGGTAGTATGGGAAGAAACTTGGCTTACACAGAGATGCTGTTCGCTCCTGCCGGGAAGGCTGTATCCGATGCGGATGAGCTGTTGAGGTCGGGGGGAGCAGACTTCCGACGATTTGCAAGCTGCTCGCGCACATTGGTCTGACGTACAAGGCGCTGTGAAGGGCGGTTTTGCTTCTGCTTAGAAGACAGATTGAGAACGCGAATGCACCATTATTTGCTAGGCATAGAAATCGGACTCACCTTCGCGCAGGGCTCTTGAGCATGAGCTTCTCCGTCGCTGTCAGCATCGCCTTCAGCTGCATAGTGATCTTGAACACCCTCAGAGGCAGTCGTAAGTTCGTCTCGACGAGGTACAGTGTCTACAAACGAAGTCAGCAACAAAGAGGTGGCCAGAGAAGACGCTTACCGAACGCGTCACTCTGCATATGCTCATACTCCACATCCGCATCCATTATCTTTCCCAGCTCGTCGAGGTCGGCATTGTGTTTGCGCTTTCGCCCCGCTTTTGCGTCCGCGAGCGCTTTCCGTTGCTTCTTCTCGGCTTCAATCTCTTCATCGGGTCTGACCAGGCCACTGTCGTAACCAGGATGGCGATTGGCGTTCGTAGCACGTGTCCCGTAGCCGTGGCTTTTCTGATTGCGAGAATGTGAGCACGGCAAGAGCATGGTGTGACACGTAAATGAGGTAAGACTCAATAGAGATAACGTACCTGGGGACTCTCTGAAATTACGGCAGGTTGTTGGCCCGCACCGGGAGCGGTGGCTGGTTGAGGAGGAGGAGGGTTTGGCGTGGCAGAGGTCGCCGCAGACTGACGAGTCTTCTTCGCTGGCGGCGTGGGCGTGGGAGCCTCGTTTTCCGATGCGAGAACTGGAAGCGCAGATGGCACTTGCGGGCCGGGAGGAGCTTCTGTGGGCGCCTTACGTTTCCCACTTGTTTTGCGACGTCCACCGCGGCCGGTCGCCATGTTGGGAGGTAGAAGTGGGATGGGATGGGATGGGAGAGATGGAGAGAGACGGTGCCAGGTCAGCCTCTCGCTTCTGGTTCTCGCTTCCTGCCAGTGCCGCCGCTTACTCGAGCTTGTCTCAGAGTGCTAGGCTTACGACTTGCTCTCCACCTCCACGTCTTCATCCAGCCCCGTTGCGTTCTCCATCTCCCCCACCATACTCTCTTCTGTGACAAGGTTCGGATGCATCAGCAGCAATTTTTCCGCATTTTCCGTGCTCATGTCACAATCCTGTCAGTACATACCCATGGCACGACACTGCACGCTTTGCAATCTCGGTTTCAAGACACGTTCCGGATACAATGCGCATCGACGGACGACCCATCTTCACCCCAAGCCGAATCCTCAAAGCCCGTCCGTGTACCAGTATCACCGGCTTCTCAATGGTGTGTTCTTCTCGTCCTACAATGTGCATAATATCGAGCCAACATTGTGTCTTTATCAGCTCGTCCCTGCCTTCCGGATGGCACATTTCTCCCTCCCAACACCCCGCCCCCTCCGCACTGTGATGCCGTTGACTGGAACCCCTTCCCTGGTCGTCCATCTTTCGAGTACGCTGAACTGGTGTACGATGCGAGTCCGCAATCTGAAGAGGCGATTCTTCAGCTTCGTCAGATTCTACGCGCGCAGTTCGTTCTTGACGGCCACGAAGACTACGATCCCTTCCCTCAGAGCAAGCCCGACATAGAAGACCTCATTGATGCCATTCCATATGGCGAGGTGCCGTGGCGAACCCTTCTTGTCCGCTACCGAGGTGTTGTCGGGCCGGATTCACCCTCTTGGAAGCGTCAAATCTTCAAACTACACACACGCGACAGCCTTCGCTCAGTGGAGACTCTGGCCGGAAATCCCGAGTTCAAGGATCAGTTCGATTACGTTCCGTACGAGGAATATACCGGCCCCAACTGCCGCCGTGTTTGCAACCTTATGTCGGGGCAATGGGCATTCAATAAAGCAGTGAGTGCGCAAAGAACCACATCATCTGCGATACTGACTCGTACTTTTACAGAACGAGATCGCTGTCGACCCGAGCACGCATGGTTGCATGCTCACGCCCATCATTCTCGGAGCGGACAAGACCACGGTGTCCGTTGCCACAGGGAACCAAGAGTACCATCCCGTTTACATGTCTCTTGGTAACATACACAACACTATGCGTCGCGCCCATCGTGAGAGTGTCATCCCAGTCGCGTTCCTGCCCATTCCGAAAGGTATGTGACTCTATGATATACGGTACGTCGGTATCTATACTGAACGTCCCAATATGACAGCGCTACATGAGTGGGAGGACGACGAAGAGTTTCGACTCTTCAAGAAGAAACTCTACCACGCATGCTTGGCAGCGGTTCTTGAACCACTGCGTCCCGGCATGGAGGCTCCCGGACATGTGCTGCGCTGCCCCGACGGCCACTTCCGCAGAGCCATCTTCCAAGTCGGGCCGTTCATTGCGGATTACCCAGAGCAGGTATACCTTTCCGGTATCGTCTCCGGATGGTGTGCGAAGTGCGTTCCAGCGTTTTCTGATCTGTATGTATCATCTTCTGATACTATGTTGGCACAGGTGTTTCGCAATTCCGAACGGAAATTTCCAGAAGGGCGACCCTCGAACACACCAAGGGACGTCAAAGATGTGCGATACATATACGCATGCGGAGCTGTGGGATGCGTGGGGAATCAATTCCGACATACAGGTATATTCTGTTGTATGTGGGCTCACTGTAGTTGTCGTACTGATAAGTCTTCCAATCAGCCATTCACGAAATACTTCCCTCGAGCTGATATTCACGAGCTCCTCACACCCGACCTTCTCCATCAACTAATCAAGGGGACTTTTAAAGACCATGTCGTTGCTTGGGTCATCGCCTACATCAAGCAAACAAACCCTGATGATGAAGCGAAAGCAATACTCGATGATATCGACCGAAGGTAAGCTTCGACATCTGTTACAATCAAGGGTCTCTGCGGGTGCGCACGACTCGTGCGCAGGTCGAGGGCGAGGGTGCGGCTCATGACCAGGGTACCCGACAGCGAGCCGGTCTATACCATTGCTCGCCGCGCTCAGCACACCTGGCGGGTTGTGCAGGTTGCGCGGGTCGCCGCGAGTTGGCGCTGCCCTACATGTCGTGCCCGACGCGCCCTGTGCACTCTACGCGTGCGGATCGCAGCGGCTCACTGCGCTCAACGTGTTCCGTTGCGAGTCGAGATGCCGCACTTCGCTGTCACCATTCTGTTCGATGTTTAAACATCTGCTAACAAGCTCGCGTTCTAGAATTGCAGCTGTGCCTCCTTTCCCTGGTCTGAGGCGCTTTCACGAGGGTCGGAAGTTCAAGCAATGGACGGGAGACGACACAAAAGCGTTAATGAGGGTACGTAGGTTGCAGTAATGCGTGCAGCTGTGTTCACATCAGTAATTTCCCAAACTCCTGTGGGGTCCTGGGGGGCCTGACCAGGGTTCCCAGGAATCCAGGGATTTCGTTCCGGGCGTCCTTGCGCCCAGGCCGTTTCCGGGCGTTTAGGGTGCCAGGTCGGCCAGTTCAGTCAGGGATTCAGGGATCCGGAAGGTGGGAGGCATATAATTGCATTCATTTTCGCAGACACACTATCGTACATTTAGGCATACAGACGAGGTACAACTGACGAGCGCCGCCCCGCGCCGCGAGGGTTCTCCTCATGGAGTACATCAAGATACAGATCGCGTACGTCGAGCAGGCGTCAACGTAAGGTGCACGCGCCGAAGCAAAGCTGCTTGCCCATGATCGCGCGCGCACGAGACCGCGTGCGACGGAGTAGTCGGACGCGTGGGTGTAGTCGACGATGTAACAGCGTACCATTGGGGCGGCGAGAAGCACACCTGGCACGTAGCAGCTCAGGCCTGCACGTCCGAGTTCCGCTCCTCATACGCGTCTGGGTCCAGGTCCCACTTCGCCGACGCGACCGCGGGGAGCGGCACGGGCAGCAGCAGGCACGACACCACGAAGTACTTGTCCTCCGAGTCCGAGCCGTCGCCTGCGCTCCCGGATCCGGACCCGCTCTCCCCGGTGGCCACACGTGAGTGCGAGTGCGCGGAGGACGGAAAGGGCGGCGTACGCGGGGAGCGATTTGGGGAGGCCGTGCACGGAAGCACCCCTGCGTTCGTCCGGGTCGAGAGCGGGGGAAGCAGCCAGCGGCGTCGGCGGGAGCCTCTCCACCTCGTGCACCCCAGACACGAGCGGGGTCTCGAACCCGACGGTGAACTGCGGGGGCGAGCTCGAGCCGTGCTCTGCCGAGGGGAAGATCCCGTGCGTGTGTAGGTGCTGCTTCGAGTTCAACCAGACCGTGGGGGACTTGAACGCTGCAGTCAACAAAAACAGAATTTGAGTCAGCACGGAAACCGACGCAAGCCCACACGCGACCGCGCGCGGTTTGCGCCCGATTGCAAGTTCATGTGCGTCGCTCGGCCGCTCGGCTGCGGGAACATCTTGGCTGACAAAGATGAGGATCTGGACGACGGTTTTATGGATATGTTGTGAGAAACGAGTATGATATCGGAGCGGACACACCATTATATGGTTGCGGAGGGAGGTGGGCGTGAGCTCATCAAGGAGGTTGGTGTCGTACCTGGTGTTGCACAGAAGTCCGGTCTTGGCGTACAAGTGCTGGCGGAGATGCTCGAGCCTGACGTACAGCGGGATACTGGACGCTTCAGATAAACAACTCACCCAGTATTGATCGTACGCCCATCCACCTGACACTTTCTGTCCCACACAGCCGAAAGAAGGGTGTAATAGGTCTGTTGAAGCGTCGAAAGATGATCAGAGATATGTTGGATATGGGCATCCATAGTACCCACCTTATCCATAGCATGAAGCCTTCATATGGGCTTGGTGTGGCTTGTTTCGCGTTTGTGAGCACGCTGATAGCGCTATGACTTGTCCTCAGGCGGTGTGTCAAGTGGTGGAGATGGGAGGAGGGTGAGAGGCGACTCATGTTAGGCGCCCTATTCCTTCGCGTCTTCGGTGCCCACCGCACGCGGCTTTCTCATCTTTCTTCTTGACCCAATCTCACTCTGCTTTCCTTCACTCCCGCGTTTTTCCCCGTTGTGCGCCCTAGGGCTGGCAGGCTTCTCTTCTCCAGTATCAGCTCCGCGCAACACCGACCTAATGCTGCCTCCGATAAGCAGGTGGAACTTGGAAGACGCTCTGTTCCGCGAGCTTACCACGCAGGCTGCTGCAGGCGACATCCCTCAAGCGAAGGCTACGCTCTCCGCATGGCCAGGTAAGTCCTCGCTGTAGTTGTCCATTTGAGCCACGCAGATGTAGCCCTCCTCTAGGGATCGTCACAGGTATGCCCAACCCGCGCAGGTCACGGGTGCCGGTGAGGGTCGCGCAGGTATCGACTGTTACGATCTGAACCTTGAGAATGACAACTCGAAGATCGTACGTGTTGTCGCTCCCGTTCTCTTCAATCTTGTCATACTCACTGGCCGCCCTGAAGACGTGCATCGTCAACTGGGAGTTCACCACCGCACGCCCGATTTGGGCGTGCGCGCACGTCTCCGCCTTCCTACAATCTTCGCCCTTCAATGCAAACTTCTCTTCCGCGCGACCGTCGAGCACCTCGCCCGCTCCCCCGATGTGCTCATGATCCACGGCCGCCCCGTGCTCATCTCGCTCGCCGACCTTGCTCGCTTCTGGCTGTACTATGAGGCGACTGGCATGGCTCGGCGTGAAGGAGGCGCTCGTCCTCGGCCTCAAGGTGCACGACCTGTAGGTGCGTGCGGAGGATGGGTTCGCGCTGCCCGGGGGTGCGATGGTGCGCGAGGCGGTGGAGGAGGACATCGCCTGGTGAAAGTGTCCGTTCCTGGTCGGTGAGCACTTTCCCATAACCTCTTATTGATCCTGCTGAATCGCGCAGTCGCGACCGTCGGGACCACGAACACGGGCGCGATGGACCGCGTCAACAAAATCGGGCAAATCCGTGAGTGCGGGGCCTACGGTTCTCAGAGCGCCGTGGTTGCTGATCATGCCGACCGCGTCTAGTGAAAGACTACCCCTTCATCTGGTTGCACGTCGACGCCGCGTGGGCCGGCATATCCTTTGTTTGCCCCGAGTACCGCGAGCAGAGCCAGCTCGCTGCCATCAATGAGCACGCAAACTCGTTCTGCACCAATTTCCACAAGGTCTGCCGTGCGCCCCGTCCCGCCTGCCCGCCCCTGCTAACAGTGTGTGCAGTAGGCCTCGTCAACTTCGACGCGACCGCACTCTGGGTCTGCCAGCACCGCGACCTGATCGACGCACTCGACGTCACCCCCACGTTCCTGCGCACGAAGCAGTATGACGCCAGTCAGTCGCTCGCTCAACTCACGCTCCTTCGGGCAGTCCACGCCCTCGTGAGAGGAGCTGTCGCGCTGGTTGAGCGTCGTGAGCACTGAGCAGTGGCCGCGCCGGGAACGTGACGGCGAACACTACCTTCTGCGCTTGACGTGTACATTAGAACACTTTGTATACCTATTCTTATCTGTGTTCCCATCCCTAGGCCGCCGCCGCCGCCACCGCCGCCTGAATCCCTGCGCGCACCGGGCACCCTGGATCCCTGTGCCGCCCTGTGCGTCCTGTATGGTCCCGATTCCCCTGGATTCCTGAAATCTCTGAAATCCAGGGACCCAGGGATTCAGGGATTTTGGAAGTTACTGATGCAGTGCTGATTGCAGGTAATAGGTCTTCTTGCCGGCAATTGTAGGGCACGTACCCGACAAGATGGTTCAATGCGTTGCGGCTCTACTCGACTTCTGCTACCTGGCACGGCGGTCGTCCCACGACTCGCATGTCCTGCACGCCATGGATGCTCTTCTAGAACGTTACCACGAGCTCCGGCAGGTCTTCGTGGAGCACGGTATTCGCCCGGACGGATTCGGCTTGCCACGCCAACATGCCCTCGTTCACTATGTCCGAGAGATCCAGCGATTCGGGTCTCCTAACGGACTATGCTCGTCAATCACTGAGTCAAAACACATCGAGGCTGTCAAGAAGCCCTGGAGAGAGTCAAATCGCCGTGACGCTCTCGATCAAATCATCCACAAGATCGCCCGCAAGGGGAAGCTCGCCGCTGCACGCTCCGAGTTTGGACGCCGCGGAATGCTCCGCGATGACGTTCTCACTGCCGCGTGCCGCGAGGCAGGCCTGCTTGATCCTGATGACGACAATCCTGAAGACGAGGAAGATCGTCGCTTCAAAGCACTCCTCGAAGCAGCCATGGATGGCGAAGTCCTCGAGGCTGAAGTCACGTTGGGAATCCGACCTAGTATGTACCTCTTGGTATTATTGTGTGCGTCACGCTCATTTCCTTGTGATAGTGTACATTGCAACTGTCGGTGAAGTTGCGGAGCGTCTTGAGCAGCCTCGATTTCTCAATATGCTGGAGACGTTTCTACTCTCTCAGCTGGACGACAACGACGACTCTTCGGACGACTCCTCTGCCTTCATACAAGAAAGTGACAGGATCCACGGATTTACCTGTGCCACGGCAGTCTTCTACGCACCGAGCGACCTAGCCACGCCTGGCGGCATGTCCAGCGAGAAGATTCGATGCACTCCGCGCTGGTGGAAAGAGCATCCGCGTTACGACACAGTGCTTGTCAGCATCGACGCGGACGGTGTTGGACTAGATGGTATGCTTGTGGCCCGTGTCCGCGCCTTCTTTTCGTTCAAATACGGCGGTAAAAAATATCCCTGTGCCTTAGTAGAGTGGTTTGAGTACTGCGAAGATCATGTCGACGATGTCACTGGTATGTGGATGGTGCAGCCAGAACTCCACGATGATGGCAATCGGGTAACCAGCATTATCTCCGTCGACTCGATAGTACGAGCTTGTCATTTGATCGGAGTGTATGGGGACGTCGACCTTCAGGCAGAGGACTTCCATTATTCGTTATCATTGGACATTTTTTCGCGGTTTTATGTTAACTGGTACATAGACTATCACGCCCACGAAGTAATATGTTAGCAAGCTTATCCACCGCTTCGCAGGCCATCTGTCCGTCTGGGCAACTGTTGGAGCTGTGCGCCCCCGAACTGCTTGTCTGCCCAACTGCTGAACTGTGTCCGCTGCGCGCAAATTTGACAGATGCGACAGCTGTGCCAGACGCGTGCAAAATTACTGATGCGCACCTCGACGAAAGCTTTGGATGGACTCACCCCGTTTCAGGCTGTAACAGGCCGACCCCCTCGTCTTGCCGACATCCCGGAGTGGGGCGTGAAGGTCTGGGTCCACGACACGTCCTCCGGCAAGCTGGGGGAGCGCGCGAAACCTGGCCGTTGGGTGGGCTTCGACATGGAGAGCAAAGGGCACCGCATCTATTGGGAAGACAAGAGGTCAGTGGGTGTCGAGCGGAATGTCAGCTCGACGGAGCTAGACATACCTCTGCCTGCGCGTGGCCGACTTGAAGACAACGCGGAGCTTGAGGGGGAGAGTGAGAGCGAGGACAAGCTCGCGCCGCCTGACCCTCAACCGGAGCCTACTGCTCCCGCTTTGCCTCCCACGCAGCCGGGCCGTCTGCTTCTGCTACCGCAGCACCTGCTCCCATCGACCCTCCACCTGCTGCCCCTCCTCACGTCCTCCCTGCTCGTGTCAAGGCCCCCGCTACGCGCTCTTCGTCGCGCATCCGCCAACCCTCCCAGATCCTACGCGACATCCTCAAGAGTGGTGCAGCAGTGCCGAAAGGCGTGCAAGTGCCACTGCAAGCGCCCGCGCATCGGGCGTCAGCCGACGCGGATGAGCAAGATGCCACGGACGTTGAAGACCTACTCGAGGAGATCGACGGTGTGGCTATGGCCGTGCGGATGGCCGATGAAGAAGGTTTCGACCCGCGCTCGTACACTGAAGCGCGCCGTCGCCCGGAGTGGCCGCGCTGGAAGGAGGCCATGGACGAGGAGATCGCCGCGCTTGAAGCCCACGGTACCTACCGGCTGGAGAAACCACCGCCTGGTGCGAACATCATTGGCAGTCGCTGGGTCTTCAACTCGAAGAAGGACGCGTTGGGGCACGTTTACCGCCTGCGCGCTCGCTGCGTCGCGAAGGGTTTTGGACAACGCAAAGGTTCCGAATTCTTCTACACCTTTGCCCCTGTCGCCAAGACCGCCTCCATCCGGATCGCCCTAGCATTCGCCGCGCGACACGACTACGAGGTCCATCAGGTCGACGTGAAGTCCGCTTACCTCAACGGCGAGTTTGAAGACGGAGAAGTCATCTACATGCAGCCGCCGCCGGGTGTCACGCTATCCAACGACAAGACACTCGCTCTTCGCCTTCTCCGCCCACTGTACGGTCTTCGCCAGAGCGCACGAACCTGGAACCACAAGCTGCGAGATGTCCTCAAGCGCTTCCTCGACCTCACGCCCTGTGAAGTCGACGAGGCCGTCTACTACCGCGTCCGTGAAGACGGTGTGGTGGTTATCGTGGCACACGTGGACGACCTGACTATCGTGGCCCCGACGCTCGCACACATCAACGAGGTCAAGTCGCGCCTGAGTGAGGCATTCAAGATCACGGACGAGGGCGAGATCCACTGGATCTTGGGGCTCGCAGTCAAGCGTGACCGCCCGAACCGCCGCATCTCCCTGTCGCAAACGTCCTACATCGACTCGATCGTCCGGCGCTACAACATTACCAGCGCGCGCAAGATCGCCTCACCCATGGATCCCCATGTCGTCCTCTCCGCTGCGCAGTCACCCCAGACCGATGCCGAGGTTGCGCGCATGCGCGACATCCCTTACCGCGAGGCCGTCGGGTCGCTGATGTACGCGTCGTTGGGCACGCGCCCTGACATCACGTACGCAGTCTCGTTCCTCGCGCGCTTTGCGG